TGAATTGGAATTTGTACAAAACCTGATGTTATAGATGATAGATTAGAACATAAGGATGTAATTTTATGAACTTTGTAGCTTAATGACCATCATAAAGTTGACTCGTTTATTTATTATTGTTCAGTATAGAAATTTACTATTCACGGTTTTCTTAGTTGTTAATACAGGCTCGAGTGCCCCCTTCACTTATTCCAAATGCCCTGATACGGCTGAGGGTGGATAGAGACGTATCTTCCTCTCCAAATGCTCTCAAATGGCCACGTGTATACAGTCACTGCCAGGGAAGTCCTACTCATTGTCTTCTCGTGGTGAGGGTGTTGTTTACGAAATTGAGAGTACGAAGATCGGATGTCTGGCCAAAACAAAAGGTTTTCTTAGGGGGCCACAACCGGAGCCTTCGACCTAAAGGTCTGGTCCACAAAATAGTGGGGCAAAATTAGGAGATGCAATCCCGTGGTAGCCGGTTGACAATAATTTGTTCATACGCCATTTGTTCCACCAGGATACTGGAGTCCATGTGCCCCATTGATTTGGAATCAGAGTTTTCCAACTCCCAGGTGAGTCCTCTATATCCACCAACCCGGTTAAAGAGTCGGACATTCGATCTTTGTCCTCTCAATTTCGAAAACAACACCCTCACCACGAGAAGACAATGAGTAGGACTTCCCTGGCAGAAGCTATATACGCGTGGCCATGTGAGAGCATTTCGAGAGGGAGAGCGGACTCTTCCCACTCTCGGCCGTACCAGGGCATTTGGGGGCATATCCTCCAATGCCACTGTTGACTTATTATCTCAGTGTAAACTTAATTAACTCTAAAATCCTGACTTTTCATTAGAACATTGAGAAATTCTTTGAAAAAGATGTTTATTACTGAGAATATGATGGTTTTGGTGACCTTTTTTATATACATTCAAAATACAATTTTATGAAACATTTAATTTGAAAAAAAATAATAAAAACCTTCATAGTTTTAGTAGATAACTCACTTGCATTGTTTTATCATACCAACGATTAGCCGCATTAAATGAACTACCCATTCCATGTAATAATTGTAAAGCTAATGAAACATCATCACGTTTATTTAAATTATTTGAATCATTTGTTTCATTTAAAAATCCATTAATATCTGTTGTTTCATCTAGTTCTTCAACTTCTTGAATTGGTTTGTCTAAACATAATACGAACATGCTTTTTGCAATGGTTTTTAAATTTCCTTCATTTTCTGCGTCTAGTTAGAAGAAAAATGGAGAAGAAGAAGAAACAGGCGAATAAAGAAGTGTAGAGTAATAGAGAGAACATGACAATAATCACTACTCAGCGATCGATCAATTGTAAATATTTCAGTACTATAGGAGGTCAGCCACTACCCGAATGGCTCAATGCCAACGTACCAGACTGTGTATCTGAGTGAAATGATCTCGAACTCATTACGGAAAATTAGGTAACTTAAGACTACTAGTAAACTTTGCTAACTAGTTCCAACTAACACAAAGATTAGATTCAGGGTTTTCAGTTGACTAACTCCAATCACCGAACATTCAAAGGTAGTGCATGCGATGATGAGTCATTCAGATTAGTGATCATACTGTAGTTTATCGATAGAATTCAACTATAACTCAAATATTTGTTTTTAGTCCTTTATTGAGAATATATGCATATGTAACTTAGATAAAAGTAGTGTTCTATTCCAGATAGTTGGCGCCTTTCAGTAGAAATTATGACACTATAGATTTTTGCTGGTTGGCACTTGTTGGCGTTGGTGAGAAACCAGGTGCTACTCAGAGATCCAAATAAAAGAAATAAAACGCTTTAGTCAAAAATATTCTCTATAAACTGTTTAATATAATTCAACCAATATTAAGAAAGTGGACCATATAACAATGATTAATACACGGGAATTGACTGATGTTCATCGCATATGGATATGATATGTCGGCTACTATACAAGGTTCTATTTTAAACTCATCATATTGAAGAAAAAGTTTCATTGCGAAGTTAGTTTACCTATAACAATTAGTTATCCAATAAATTTAGGTGATACTTTTTTCCCCATGAAAATTGAGAGAATATTCTATTTATCTTTTAAATTAACAATAACTATATTTAGTTATATAACTACACAGTTTATGATGAACTTCGTAATTTGATGTTAACTATTGTAAAGGAATGACATCGATTGAAATACAACTAAAATAAAGTAGACATAATTTTACTTATGTTGGAGATTTATCTGTATTTATTATATTAGTAGAACTCCATGTAAGTATTACGTACTATCTAACAGCATGATAAGCAATCTAATTGACTCCAAGTGAAATATATCTTAAAACATCAAATTTACCAATCTTAAAGAATTTTATACGGAATATGCCAACTGAATTCAAGAAAATAATCTTTGTATTTATTATTTAAACTACTAAATATCAAATAATGTATCCCTTTGTCAGTAATATAACTGGGTATGTTAGGATATTTAAACTAATACAGCAATTTAAACTGAATGAGATTTATTGCTAGAAGAAATTGTTTTCTTTGTTTACAGGTATTTATTTTTTTAATTGAAGATATATACATTAGCATAATGCCTTACCTTGACACAAGTGTTCATAAACGTCTGCCCATTTATTTCTTGGTAGAGCTGTTAACGCACCAACTCTTGGTTGTACTTCCATTTCACTTTCACCAGCTATTGACTCTTCAGCGAACTGTGTAACACGACGTAACTGATTATATATATATATATATATATATATATATATATATATATATATATATATATATATATATATCTTCTTCACTTAATTTACTCCCATTAGTTATAACATCAATAACGAAGAACTATGAAGAAAAAAAACATTGAAAATTCTAAGAAATTCCTCTAAATTTTATTAAGTTTGAATTAATGTGGATCATTCTTGGTTCGAAAGATTGAAGACAATTATCGTGAGTATTTTTGTATTTTGACTGTAAGTTATATCTTGAACTGAGATCACCTGAAGACTTAATGAATATCAGAAAGCGCTTACAGCAATTCATCAATCCTCATTCATAACCCAACATCGGATTGGGCTCAGTATTTTATATCTCTACTATCTTTTTAAAGGAAATGTTGAAGGTTTGACATTTAACATATAATTTACAGTGGCGTTAAGTGTTGGCAATCAAGACATATTGTAGAAGTATTTTATCGTTATTAAAGTGGTTTCACGTCAACAGTAAATTTTATGCTTAAATCGATAACATTTAAGTCATGTATATATATACATAATTATCACCCAGTGTTAGTGGTAAGTAACTACTTCACTTTCAGTATGGTTGAACTCCACTAGTTACATCTTTTAATTAGAATTACAGGGCTTACCACTTTTTATTTGAACACATACATAGATACAAATGCGCCACACAAATCTCACTTGATTTGTGTGAGAGCTGCGATACTGCCCGGGTGCCCAAACCGAAACAGGTGGTTTTCTTAGGGGGCCACACCTGAAGCCTTCGACTTAAAGGTCTGATCCACAAGGCGGTGGAGCATCGTAAGAAGATATAGTTCCGTGGTAGCCGGTGACCAATGGGTGGCTCATATGCCATTTGTTCCCTCAGGGTACTGGAGTCAATGTGCACCAATGGTTTTGAATTAGGGTTTTCCAACTCCCATAGGTGGACTCTCCATGTCCACCAACCCAGTCAAAGCGCCGGACATTCGATCTTCGTCCTCTCAATTTCGTAAACAACATTCCCTCAACGAGAAGGCAGTGAGTATGACTTCCCTGTTGGAGGCTATATACGCGTGGCCATGTGAGAGCATTTCGAGAGAGATAGCTGACTCTCCCCACTCTCGACCGTGCCAGGGCTTACCTCTTATAAGCATATGTTGTTTATTATTTTAATATGTTGTCATGATTTTTGAATTTGAAGTTTGACATATTGGAATAACTGTAGTTAGACCACTACTTTTCCATCAGTGTTCACAAAAATATCAGATAACTACACAAAAGATTGTCTAAAATGAAATAGTTCAATGTGAAACCTAAATTTGTTGGAAATGATTCCTGACTAAGTCATAAATGCATACTGGTAAGAAGTCGATATATGGATAAAACAATTGTCTAGTATGTAATTGTTAGTTTCCGATAGTTACAGAGTTAAACTCAGGTCATAATAATATATATTTATCATCTTATGCTAACTAATTGAACTTTGAGTATTTTCTATTGGGGTAACAAAATAAATGATAATTTTTTATATATTTAATAATTATTCTTTAAGAATATGTATCCGTTTTATATAGTTTTTATGATTCTACCGAAAAAGTACTTCATCAATCTCATTATTATTATTATTATTATTATTATTATTATTATTACAGTAATTTGCTTATTGAGTATTATGAAATCCACTGGTAGATAATGACCCATTATTACTCCCATGAGAGAAAAAAGAAAAAAATGATTCAACAAATAAATATAAAGAAATAACAATGATAATGTAATAATTCAGAATAATCAATAATCATCGTTATGTTACTTAATTTGTGTATATTTACCAAAAATGATAAAGTTTAAGTCAAACATATCTGTGTAACTCAATACAGAAGATTATTCATAAATATGGGATTAAGCCAAAATATGAGAATAAACAGAATAGAAAAAAGAATTAGAACACTGATATTATGAAAACAAAAATTAATGATCGTTTAATCAATCATTTGTTAAAAATATGAACAGGATATATAGTTGTTTATTTAGATTATTCTAATCACTATGACAAATCCAGATGAAGATAACTAGTGTAGCAGCAGCCTCTGATGGATGTAGAATGTTGGATGAAGAATGCTGGTGCGCGGCCTATGCTCCTTCACGAGGAGTAACAGGCGCAAGTAGGTAAGTAATCACTAAAAGAATATAACCAACTGTTTGTTTTAAAAGTATTGTAATTTATTATTTTAAAACGAGACATCATTCCTTAATCTAAAATAGAATATATTTTAAAAAAATTTACCTGATCTAAATAAATAGCAATAATATGTTCAGGATCGAATGGATCTCGTTCAGATGTTGTTACAAGTATATCTTTAGTTTTACCTGGATAACGATATGAACTAAATAATCGATAATATTGTTCCATACAAAATGGTTGACCTTTTTTACTATGCCGTGCTCGATCGATTGGAAGTGAACGTTTAAAATAAAATAAAATGAGTTTATTACTTCTTAAATTAAAATATTTACACATTAAAAATATCACACTGCGTTAAGAAACAAAATATTACATAATTAATTCATTTATAACTTGGTGGTATTATTAAGTAAGAAATGATTCTAGGTGTTATTGTTCTTGTTTAAATGTGGAATGACTTACAATATGTTTATCTGTCGGTTTGGGATTGTGGAGAATGTTGAATTTCACTGAGATCATGAACCTACCAATAGTGGTCATTAATAGTGGATCCACTAAACAACCATCCAGTACTTCGATGTTTTCAATGGTCGTCCAACATTGATCGGTTCTTTATTTCAATGTTTACTTTTATTTGTTTCTCTCAAAAAATTATAATTTGAACTGTGAAAACTGATTACAGAAATTTCATTAATACACTAACTGCTACTCGTATTAAAAATTTAAGGAGGTTGATCGTATTAAGTTTCAATTAAACATAACCCGGTCATTATATTTAAATTGAGTTTTTTTGTGATGTACGGTGATTTTCATTTTTAGTCAACTTTAAACAGAGTGTTCGTTTCACGCGTAACGAAGGATGGATTTTTCATTAGTTCTGACAATATCTACATTGTTTTGTTAAGAGATTCAAAAAGAACTAGCCGATTACCATTTATTGAACCATGAGAAGAATCGAGCCAAAATGTTATCACATGGTACAAAACTTAATCAAAGATCCATATATAATCGTTTAGAAAAATACTGAAAATGTAATTCCTGATATCAGATGAAAGTTGAAAAGTAACGTATGTTATATTACTAAATTTATTTTGTTGAGCAAACCAGATCAAATTACCAATGTTCGTTACGATCGTTGGTTATATTTGATAAAACAGTTATAGGAGTTTGGCAGTAAAAGTTCTTGAATGGTTTATAGTATAAACTTGTTAACATTTATTGTTATCGAATCAGTTTAACATAGACGTATACACCAAAGTGTTAGGTGCTATCTCTTTGAATCTATTATGACAGACTCTTTGAATTCAATTTACCACTGAATAAGAAAGTTAAAACGCTATTCGAATGATTAAAGTTTATTTTTAACAGTTATTTTGCGAAAAACGATTGGATACCTACCGAAAAGAAATTTACGTCGTGTGTAATTAAAGTTAATAAAGTCGAATTGTGATATCACTTATTACCCACTCATTATATTTTCTGTCTATTTAAAATGAGTTTTACAAATCGTTTGAAAATAAAATGAAAACGGAATAATTTTCATGAAAGTTTACGGTTAAAAAACAAACCAAAGAAAAAGAAATCTGCAACCGTTTAAATTAAGGATGATAAGAAGCTATTTGTATTGTTTATTATTGTCCATAAAGTTAGTAACACTGTCTAATGGAAACGTGGAAGCACTACACGGCCATTTCGCTCTAGTATGGGACTCCCCACCAGTGCGCATCCACGATCCCGCGTGCGAGATTCGAACCCAAAATCTTCGGTCTCGCGCGCGAACGCTTAACCTCTAGACCACTGAGCTGGCATCTCTACAGTCTTCCATCCTGATAATAATTATGTGCTCATTATAGACTAGCTTTAAGATTGATTTCTTGGAGTTCTATTGAGAAGTCGTGACCTATGGAGTTCGATCCGTGTCAGGTGTTGACAGTTATCCGCCACAGACAATGAATAAATGGTTGCGCAAGGTCATGGATTGGTTAAAGTTAGACATTAGTACATCGTTAGATGTCGGCTCAGTTGAGCGTTCGCTTAGGGGACTGCGGGTCATTTGTTCGAGTCCCGTGTGCGGGATCATGGATGGGCACTGCTGAGAAGTCCCGTACTGAAACGAAACGGCAGTCCAGTGCTTCCAGGTTTTCAAGAGTGGTCTAGCTTAAATTGACTCATGATTCTAAAAATTAAAGTTACTACAATCTCTACAAACTTTCACTCTGATGATTGTCAATCAGTTTCAGTATATGGTATAATCGGGGACTAATATTTGAAAGAATAACGTGATTACCATGATAGCTAAAATTATCTGAATTCTACTTTGTAATACTTTATGAATTTATTAGGATAAATAAGAAATATTAACCATAGAATATAGTGAGTATACGTTATAAAATCATAAAAACAAAATTTTTCTTTGCTATTATTGTTCATATTATATTTGCGTGTATTCCAATTGATTAATTAAATTTTATTAAGTAAATAAATGCAAAGAAAAATTGTTTACTTTAAAGGAAAATTGTAAGAAAAAAGGGAGAAGAAAGAAAGAAGTACAAACAATCATTATCACCAGTGAATTCATCATCATTATTTTTCCTTCTTTTTTTAACGTAAGTAAATCTCATCAGAAAACTAAGAAAAAAAGAACATAGTTCAAATCTTCTTAAGCAGAGATCGCTAGTTGCTAGCAGTGGAATCCAGTTTGACGCGTGTTTGTCCTATTTGGGACTCGTCAGCTGGATGTACCCCATTCCAGAGTTGATGTTCATTATCCATCTTTACTTAAAAAAGCTTGTGACTTAAGGCTTTATCGAGGCAATTCGGCATAGGATGCACATATGCCAATATGAGACTGATCAATTGCAGTTCTAAATAACAGTTGGAAGATACAAGTAAAACAAGATCAAGTGAATCGTTCAAATCTGTTTTTTTCGCGGTAAATTTTTATTCTACTTTTCATCAAAATTAGAAAAGAAAACAGGTGAAAAAAAGAAACTTTAGATGTAATTTGATATTCATTGAAGGTTGAATTGATGTATGTATACATCATCTTTTCTATACCTTACTTTTTATTAGATATTTAATATTAAAGAAAAGAATATAATTTATACGGTTAATATAGCTATTTAATATAGAAAGTAGATGATTATATATATGTCTAAATGTTGAAGAATATTTTCAGGCAAACGATGGAAAAAAAATTTTTTATGAACTTTTGATGTGGAAAACAGGTCAACAGTATGTAGAGTTTTTTTCCGTCTTCTGTTATCAATTTTCTTTAGTGAGTTCCCCTCCTGCTTTTTGTGACTCATTTATGCATTCACCATAATACTCAGCTGTTTGATTACATGATAGACACAATTAACAATTATATATACACATACACACACCCATACCAACAAACAAATGCATACATATACGTTACAACTCTACTTTTTCTATATCACTGCTTACATTCTCTGTAAGTAAGAGACATTAAATTGACGTGCAAACAAAATAAGTATTGGTTAAATGCATGCACAGCTCTTTCTATGATAATAATAATAATAATAATAATAATAATAATAATAATAATAATAATAATAATAATAATAATAATTCAGTCTTCCATTCCAATTCCACGTGTTGTTGTTTGTTAGTCTTTATTCCGCGGCGAAAGATTGTCACGAAGTTTAATTTATTGAAAATTTTAGTTAACACTTCAAGAATCTCATTAATTACAGAAAGAAGAGTAGTAAGAGAAACGAAGATAGTTACAGAAGTGAAAAACCTTACTGAATTATATTTACGGATGAAAAAAAGACGGATACTTTTCTGGGAAAAAAACCGTCAAAAAATCAAACTAATTTGTTTCTTTATCTTTCTTATCTATAAAGTAATAATATATGAGTTCATTTCATATTTTTATGGTATTATCATCTACTTCATTCAATACCGATATAACAGTGACTAGTAAAGTTGAATAGTGGATAGCAATGGGGTACAGAATGCATTAAACAAGCTGATAGTCATTTGGAATCGGTTGAAGGTACTGAGCTAAAGTTCTGATGTGAGCATCAACACTGAAATGCAAGTACATTCACCTAACAAATATTAAATGGAACAAAACCTGGGTTCTGGGTTCTACTAGTAGTCACTATCCAAATTCATTAAAAACTAAATCATAATGTCTATAAAATCCTTTCATAAAACAGAAATACGAAAAGGAAGTAGTCAATCGAAGTCTTTTATATCAACAACGAAAGAACACAATCTTTATAAAATAAAACAAAAGAGAATAAATATGAAACTATAAACCTTTTACTCAATAAGAAATATACAATTCGCTTTATTTTCACATAAATATCACCAATAAGGTGAAATTTTCAATTCAATGTTCATTTCAATTTGCCATGTAGGATATTAAAACAAACATGGATCTGTTATTTTTAAAGCGGATTCATTTTACAATATAATTTGTGTTTTGCTATTGACCATATTTAACAGATATGAACATTAATGTAACATTTAATCAGTTTCTTAATTATTATAATGATTACAATGATGGCTATCAAGACTCAATAGGTAAGTGAATAACGCGATGGCGTTTAAAGCGAACGGTTCTGCGTTCGAGTCCCAGAGTAAACATCAACTCTGAGACGCAGGCAAATTTAGATGACGTGTCCCAAATAGGACGAAACGCGCATCGAACTGGATTCCACTGCTAGCAACTATCCAATTTTTTTGCTTATAATGTCAATGTTTGTTTATAAGTTTTTATTAAAATGTTAAGTTTTATTATCCTAATAACCAGATACATATTAACAATTTATTTTAGGTTTGTATATATCATTGATAAACTTATAGTGTATACACTGCTTCAAAGTTAATAATCTGAAATCTAACAATTTCGCCTTCAATATTACTAAGTAGTTTTAAATTAGATCATATCTACTATTCATTGATGAAGTTTTTTCAATAACCTTCCAGATAATTTACAATAAACTTTTTAACCAAATGTATTTCAGTGCTATGAAACGGTTTATATTCTTATAAGAAATATGTTTCATTAAATATACAATTTCTAGATCATCCAAACTAACTTTAAGATCAATATAAAATAGTTCATTCATAGAAACTTACGTATCTAATATTGTTTTATAATCAAGAATTCCAGAAATCAGTTGAGCAGCAAATCTAATATAGATAAAACAAAAAACAGATGAAAATAATGTATAAAATTGTTTTATTCATCTACCTAATCAATTTAAAAGACAATGTATTATTCACTCGATGGATTATGTAAAGCTTTAATGAATAATAGTTTCAGTTAAATGTAGATCATAATCGTATTATTATTATTATTATCAATTA